CAAGGTTATTATGGAAAGCAGCATATTGATTGGATGTCGCGCGAACTTCCGCCGCGCGGCAAGCATTGGGTGCGTTCAGCGAACTCAACAGTTGCACAACAGTTGAGTAATTCGTCAATGTAATTGGTTTAGATTTAGGGATCTAACAGTAAGAACCAATAATCACTGATTGCTCACTGAGCGCTTTTTCCGCTGAACGCGCCCATTACCGCGTCTTGTGTGCAGGAGCCATGAGTTCTCACTGAGCGCGTCACGCGTCGCGTCGTTTGCCTGCATCACGAGTTAACCAATCAAATCGTTCCATTAGAAAAAGTGCGTCGCGCGTCGCGTCAACCCAATTAGATGATTTGATTGGTTAACTCGTGACGCAGGCAGACGACGCGATGCGTGTCGCCCTCAATGGGAACTTAGTCTAAGACTGAGTTAAGCCAATCAAATTGTCCCATTTTATTCAGCATAAAGTTACGCGATAAAATGGGACGATTTGATTGACTTAACTCAGACGACGCGCGCGTGACACGCTAAGTGGGAACGCACCCTAAAACCCGTATCAGACTATAGATTAGAATTGAGATTGAATTGAAAATTAGCCAATCAGAGCAAAATTCACTAATCTCAAGTTTGGTGAACTTTGCTCTGATTAGCCAATTTTCAATTTAATCTCAATCTTAATCCGTAGTTTGATACGGGCTTAAAGCCAAATCACACTAACGATTGGCGATAGATAATTGACGATTGAAGATTGGAACTTGATCAATTGAAACAAAGCAAGCCAAGGCTGAAGCTTGTTGATTCGTTAAAATCTAATCTTCAATCGTCAATCGTCAATTGCTAGTGTAATTTGGCCTTTAAAGGCCAATTATTTATCAAATGAAGTTTTAAGTTTATTAAATCAATGTTTAAGATAATCAAAGTAAAACGAAAGAAACAAGAAATTCTTATTTTATTTTATTCTTATTTTATTTATTTATTTTTAATTCTTATTTTATTTTATTAAACTAAAAGAATGTCATTTTTTACTAACGGAGTTAAAATAAAAATATGATTTTATTTTTAATATATTTACATATGTATAATAAATTTAATATGTTTCTTAAACATATTAGATATAGAATGGTAAGGAGAAAAAAGATGGGAAAAAGAAGAAATAATAACATCATAAAATTATTTCCTTCAATTATTATGTTTCTTTTAATAATTGGATTGGTAATTTATAAATTATTACTTAATTGTTACACATATATATGTTTAAATGCCTTGTCTGCACAGACGTGCCAAGAACGTTACAAGCACGTCGCTACGACGTTATTACGTCGTAGCGATATGCTCGCCACGTCCGGTGCTGTCAGGGTATATTTCGCTCGAAATGACCGATACGCGCCCATTAACGTTGGTCCCGTTCACGCGCCCACTCCAGGGTTAAATCGACAATTCTTAGATTTTAACGACGTATTTGCATTTGCTTCTTATATTCATAGAATCCATTCATGCTTCTATTGGGACAAATCTTACACGCAGCGGGTGGTTAGGTTGAAGTATAAGATCAGCAGTTATTTGCATATCTTTTAGATAATCAATAGGTTCCAAGTAGAAGTTGCGTACGAGGGTAGCTATCATGGCCTTCATTTCCAACATAGCGAATCGTTGGCCTGTCATGCATACTTTGTGTATTAAAAATTGCCTACACATTGAAGTGTGAGCATTATGCTAACTTACCAATACAATTCCGTGGTCCCGCGCTGAACGGTAAATACGAATAAGGATGACGTTTTTGTATTTTTTCAGGCAAAAATCTGTCTGGATCAAATACATTGGGATTCGGCCAGAAATTGGGATCTCTATGAACATCGTAAATATTGAGATGTACATATGTTCCACAGGGTATTATATTCGAATCTGTAAAATGTATTATACAATTAGAAGTAATTTATAAATGATAAGAGAAAATATTACGATAATGACTATATATAAAAAATGTATATTATTCATTGTCATATAATGCCGATTTAATTGCATTGATTTCGAAACGTTAAATCTGAAGTATGTTTAT